ATAAATTGATTATACTGAAAAACAGAATTTTACCTTTTAATTTAAATATTTAATCGTTTTTCTTTACTGGTTTCATTACATGAATTAATATTTAAAATATATATATTGAAACAATAAACAGAGGCATACGTAGAGATAGATAGATAGATAGATAGATAGATAGATAGATAGATATGCAGACTAAAATAGACATATAATGAACAGAAATAGATAGATATGAAGGTAATATACATATATATATATATATATATATATATATATATATATATATATATATATATATATATATATATATATATATATATATATATTAAGACTAAAATAGATTGATAAGAGAAGTAAAATAGATATGAAGACTAAAATAGACATATATATATATATATATATATATATAGCTATAGATATTAAGACTTGAATAGATAAACAAATATATATGAAGATAAAAAAGATTGAGATTGATAGTAAGCCTAAAATTAAAAGATATGAAGACTAAAATAGATAGATACTAATAGTAAGATAATAGATAGATAGATAGATAGATAGATAGATAGATAGATAGATAGATAGATACAGAGACTGAGATAGATAGATAGATAGATAGATAGATAGATAGATAGATAGATAGATATGGAACTAAAATAGATAGATAGATAGATAGATATGAAGCTAAAATAGATAGATAGATATGAAACTAAGATAGATAGATAGATAGATAGATAGATAGATAGATAGATAGAAATGAAACTAAAATAGATGGATTGATAGATAGAAATCTGTATATATAGAGATATTGAAATGAGAAAGATGAAGATGATAATGGCATGTAGATAGACTCTTCCTTTCTCTCTTTCTCTCTCACACACACGCGCACTCATATATCTATGTGTGTGTGTTAAAATGGCTGCGTGTTAGTATATGGAGAAAGGAAAAGTGAAAGAAAGTGAAATAAAAAATAGAAAAGGCGAGAAAAACATGGCGACTAAAGAACGACATGAAAAAATAAATATGGGGGCGTCAGTTGTTGGATTTATGAGACATTTGTTACTCAGTGGAGAGAAGAGAAAAGGCTCCAATAACATTGTTTGCTGTATTAGGTACGTATTAAAGTCTAAAGATTGCTTCTAAAAATGAGTCATTAATCTGTTTTAGAATCTGGTATTCATTTGGTTGGATGTGTAAGAAAGATATGAATAGATTTAGATAGATAGATAGATAGATAGATAGATAGATAGATTAAAATAGGTACAAAGATATGAAGACAAAAATAGATAGATAGATAAATAGATAGATAGATAGAAATGAAAGAAAAAATAGACAGATAGATAGATATGAAGGTTAAAATAGGCAGATGGATATGAAGACAAAGCTAGATAGATATCAAGAATAAAATAGATATGGAGGTTAAAATGCGTAGATAGATAGATATGAGGACAAAACTAGATAGATAGATAGATAGACTGCGACAGACGGATAGATAGATAGATAGATAGATAGATAGATGAATAGATAGATAGATAGATAGATATGGAAGTTAAAATACGCAGATAGATATGAAGACAAAACTAGATAGATAGATAGTTATGAAAATTAAAATAGATGGAAAGCGATTGGGATAGATCGCTAGCTAGCTAGCTAGCTATATAGATAGATATGAATACCAAAATATGAAAACTAAAATAGAAAAATATGAACACTTAGACAGATATGAAAAAGTAAAATAGAGATAGATAGATCTGAAAAAAAGGTAGGTAGATATATATATATATATATATATATATATATATATTTAAATTTAATGTTATTTTATATTATTATTTAATAAATTTAATATTATTTAATATTATTTTTAATTTATTTCACCAGAGCACTTTTTTGGAAGTGCTATCTGATGATCCGGCGTCCTTTAAAAGGGCTCTGGTGAAATAAATTATTATAATGGAACCTTAAAGTGGTCTGTTTTTCTTTTAAATATTCGCTCTGGATTTACATTGAGCTCTCAGGATTTCATCCTCCTTGAATTACCCATACGGATTACCAAGTTCTTCATAACTTATATATATATATATATATATATATATATATATATATATATATATATATATATATACAGTGGAGGAAAGAAATATTCGTACACATACAAATTTTTAATGTATGGTATTTACAACTAATGAAAGAACATAATATATAACGAACCGAATAGACGCGATCGTTTTAGCGTGACCATTCCTTTCATGCACAGAGCGATCCTCAGACGCTTCAAGGAACTTTACTGTAAAGTCTTTGTATTGCTTTCGTCTTGGACTGTTTTCCCGCTTTTTCTGGAGTGGTTCTCCTTTTTTTTGTATATTCTCGTCTGCAATATTGGGTACTGTCTACGTTTGCTGAGATGAGGTAGACTCCTTTGCGGTTTATTTTTTTTCCCGCCTTTTTTCTTTCCTTTTCGGCAACACAAGCTCTGTTTCTTTTGTGTGTGTGTTTTTTTTTTTTTTTTTATTTTATTAACGCTGAAAACATCGATTTCCGTTCGATCACCGAATCTACCAGTGCTCTACTTAGATGGGGGGGGGCGCTTAGGAACATTGGGGAATGTAAGCAACTTCCTACAATCTGAGATGCATTTCGCCAAACGGTCGATAATCCGTAAGAAACAAATCACCCTCCCCACACACACACAAACATCCATCCATCCATCCATCCATCCATACATACATACATATATATATAGTGGACTCTCCCGTCGTATTCGACGTATGAGGGTCAAGCAGCTAGGAAACGACAGCCAGACACCATAGTGGTGAATGCTTTGTGCAGAACCATCCACACTTTTTGAAGGGCCGATTACAGAGACCTGGTGCAGTACGTGCCACAAGGTCCTCGAACGACCCTCCGCAGGTTTTGAATTCAGAGTTGTCCTTCGCCTAGACCAGTTGCCATCCAAGGCTATAGAACCCGCTCTGTCCTGCTATTTACCCTACTCTGGAGGGAAAAGAGGATTGATACCATTCTCAAGGGTATTAGCACCTAAGTGAATGCAATGGATTCCTCAATCTGCGCCGCTATCAACTACTCTACCGTGCTTATATATATATATATATATATATATATATATATATATATATATATATATATATAAATTATAAAAGTGGACATTAATATCAGCACCTAGCAATTTTCTAAGCATAAAACAGATTGTAGTGTTGACTTCAATGTCTATTTTCATATTTACATACACTCTATCCCTGATACACTATTTACATTATTCGGACTATTGTCCTCATCTTTTTCGCCATATTTATTACAACATTTCGGCCTTCTTCAGGTGGTTGGAATGTCGAAATGAACCCTTCATTTCGCTCACTGCCATGTGCCACGTTTTAATGGATGTCAGTTGTCAGTTATCTCCTGTTAATTCGCCTCTCCAAGTTCCCCGCCGCCTTAAACTCGAGGACACATGGCACAGTGGATAAAGGCGTTAGTTAGATCCAGTGACAGGACCCAAAGAGTGTGAGTTCAATACCCGGTTAAGGCAGTGGAGAACTTGGAAAGGGGAATTAACAGCAGATAACTGATAACTGACATCCATTAAAAACATGGCACGTGGAACTAGAACTGTCTACGCCAGTGAGCGAAATAAAGGGTTCAGTTCGACATTCCAACCACTTGAAGAAGGTCGAAACGTTGTAATAAATATGGCGAAAAAGATGAGGACGATAGTCCGAATAATGTAAATAGTGTAGATAATACCTCATCTCAGAAATATAGACAGATACTGACGGATCGGATAAATATGGCAACAAAGATGAGGACAATAGTCCGAATAATGTAAATAGTGTACATAATACCTCATCTCAGAAATATAGACAGATACTGAAAGGCCGAAACGTTGTAATAAATATGGCGACAAAGATGAGGACAATAGTCCGAATAATGTAAATAGTATACATAATACCTCATCTCAGAAATATAGACAGATACTCTATCCCTGATATCGGGCATTTTAACACATAAATATAGCAGACCTGAAAACTATATTTTATCACACGATTTATATAACATATATTTGGCAAGCAACTTTTCTTTCAGGCATGTTTTGTTGAATATGGCAGACAGGGAAAATATGATGAATGTTTCATTGAATTTTTCTAGTATTCTTAAATTTTTCCGTTTGATCGGTGGGTTAGGGAATGTAAAAATTGTCCGTAGTGTTTATTGTTCCAGTCACTTCTGTAGCCATTTTGAAGGGACTTCTTTTTAGTTGGTGTTAATTTCTTTTCACGGTTGTCTTTTAAGATGTAATTGTGTGATGCATGTTGTGTATTAATAGCGTTTGTTCCGAGCCCCACGAATGGAAGATGGGTAGAAATCAACGTTTTTCTAGCTAAAAAAAAAAAAACAAAACTTTATCACATTGTTTCCGTTGTTAAATAAAGTTAGATTAATACTGGGTGCCAGAGTTTTTATACAGGGTGTCCATAAAGTCTGTGTGCAATCTAAAATACTTACGTATTTTAAATTGCACACAGACTTTATGGACGCCCTGTATATTAACACCGCTTAAGAACAAACCCATCGAAAATGGCTACGTCCTGAAAGAACATGGCACATAAAAAGAAGAAAAGGTGAACCGCCTGCCCCTTCCAACTGTCGGTCTTTTAACCTTCTCCCTCCTTTTGAGAAAACTCCTAGAGGCCCCGATCAATATTGAATTGGTTCAGCATCTCTCACCACAAGGGCTTTTCTCAGACAAGCAATATGGATTTCGTTTCTCCAGGTCAACTGTTAATGTAATGGCGATAATTGCCTGTCCTACTCTAGATAAAAACTGTGAATCATGGGTTGTAGCTTTGGACATCTCGAAAGCCTTTGATAGGTTTTGGCATATAGGTCTTCTCCACAAGCTAAAAAGTTACGGTGTCTCTCGGAACACATTTTTGAACTGATCCAGTCTTTCCTTTCAAATCGCAAAATGAAAGTTCTCCTGAACGGACATTCCTCTACATCCTTTAGTACTAACGCGGGTATCACCAAGGGCTCCACCCCTTGGTCCTACTCTGTAAGGTTGATCAGTCAGACAGAATAGTAGCTGAGGTCCAAAACGACCTCCAGTCCGTCGTTAACTGGGGCAAAAGATGGCTTGTTTATTTTAACGCCCCCAAAACTAAATCTATCTCCATTAATCATCTGAGAGATTCCTCTCTGCCTTTCATCAGCATGGCTGATGCTAACCTCCAGGAAAGTGACTAATTGTGCCTTCCTGAGCTAACGTCCTCAACCGACGTGTAGTGGAAAGATTATATTGATTTCATTTCTTGGTCAGCTTCTAAGAATGTCGGTTCAATGTGTTGTGCAAGACATTTTTTCTATTCAGAATCTATCTTACATATCTATAAGTCTACCATTCCTCCATGTCGTCTATTAGTGCCAAATATAGTCCGCTGACTCTGCTATTTAACTTGAGCTCCTTGATAAGATCCAAAGAAGATTCAGCAATATTATTGGTCCTCATCTGGCAGATCGGCTTCCGTCAATTTCCCACTACTGCAAGGCTGCCTCTCTCTGCTTTTTCTATAAATACTTTCAAGGTAATTGTTCGGATGAGCCTTTCGCTATGGTACCTAGAGTTTTTGGATTTAAGCGCAGTACTAGATTATTACGGTCAAATCAAAGTTAAGCATCGTAGAGCCAGGTCAGTACTTAGATGGGGGACCGCTTGGGAACACCTGGTACTGTAAGCTCCCAAAGTCCAACCCTTTACCTCACAGTCGGTGGGGGTGTAAACGGTAGTGTCAGAGCTATGCCGCCCGGAACTTCGTTCCTGGTAGGGCCACCCAAGGCGGACAGGTCTGACACACACGCCGGCTAACAAGGGCTCTGGTGAAAATCCAAGGAGCGTCTGCATCGGTAACCGGCGGCTTCTGGTCGTTCCTGTCTCTGCGTCTGTGGGAACCCCGCGGCAATCAAGAACGTTATCCGAGTAGGCCTGGGTACCCTACTTCTGTAATTTATCCCAAGAATCTTCTTCTCATAACAGGAAGAAGCCGGCTCAATCCGCCCAGGGTGAATGCCGCATCAGACAGACAGACAGTACTAGATTGGCGTTGAGGTCTCATTAATTTACGCTTAAGGTGGCTAGATGTAGCCGTAAATTCTATGCTATCAGTTTCTTTTCTCGCACTTCTCCCACTCAGTCTTTTCTCTTCTGCCTCTGTCTCTATCTCTTCTGCTTCGATTCGTCTTCTGTTGGCGAATTCGCTTCGCGCATTCGTATTTATCGACATAATTTGGGGGAATTCCCTTCTCCCACTCTCTCATATCATTACCTCTCACTAAAACCTCTCAGTGAGCGTGATTGGCTTATCCACCCCACGTTCTGTCTCGAATCAACCCTCAACCAGGAGAATCAACTCCAATTTCGTTGTTTAGCGAAAATGAAATTTTCGCTTTACAGCTTGCATTTGCAGCTGTGTGTCAATCAACCTCTCCCCTTTAAACCTGGGTCACTCCTCCATTGTTCAATTTGCCCGACATACAATTCAAGTCGTTTATGTGTGAATTAAATCCTCAATTCTTGACACTGGTTTTTGGTACTAACCCTTCTCGTTTCAATGTCTCTCAGCACATAACACTTTCTTGTTTTAACAAAACTGTCTTCCGTTTTACCGTTACGACAGCAAACAGTATCACACCTTTGGTCGGAGCTTCTGTATTTTCCTTGCCGCATCTGTTATCGACATGCTGTCATCTGCATGTGTAATCTGTCTATACTTCTGAGATGAGGTATTATGTATATTATTTACATTATTAGGACTATTGTCCTCATCTTTGTCGCCATATTTATTACAACGTTTCGGCCGTTGTACGTTCCGGCCTTCTTCAGGTGGTTGGAACGTCGAACTGAACCCTTTATTTCGCTAGCTGGGGTAGACTGTTCTAGTTCCACGTGCCATGTTTTAATGGATGTCAGCTATCAGTTATCTCCTGTTAATTTCCCTCTGAAAGTTCCCCACTGCTTTAACTGGGCATTGAACTCACACTCTTTGGGTCCTGTCACTGGATCTAACCAACGCCTTTATCCACTGTGCCACTGTGCCATGTGGAACTAGAACAGTCTAGCCCCAGTGAGCAAAATAAAGGGTTCAGTTCGACATTCCAACCACCTGAAGAAGGCCCGGAGAGTACAATGGCCGAAACGTTGTAATAAATATGGCGACAATGATGAGGACAATAGTCCGAATAATGTGCATGTGTAATGTTGTTAAGATTTGGGTCGCCAATAATGAATCCTGGCAGGAATTCTAATCTTTTCAGTTCACCTTAATGTGAAATTTGAATAATTAGAGTGAGAAGACACATCCTTGTCTTACACTCGTTTCTAGTTTTGGATATATACTGAATTCATTTTTGTTTTATGCGGATGCAAGCAGTTTGCTCCCAGGTTAAGTACAGGGTGCGATGGATAAAATGTCGTCTAACTTACGCAAAAGTGAAAATAACACTGACATCTCATTTTAAGAAATATATTTACCAAAAAATTACACAAAAACATCTTCAAATACTAAGGAGTAAATTCATTCAATAAAATCGCCATTGGCTTCAACCACGACCTCCAGACAAGTTCGGAATCTCTTGAAACTCTTCTGGGCGGTCTCCTTGTTTAAGTCGGTAAATGCTGCCATAATCCTTGCCTTCAGTTCATCTTTGGTGTTACAAGAAATTTTGTTGGTCTCTCGCTCAATTGCGCCCCCACCCATAATAATCAAGTGGGTTGCAGTCTGGGGAGTTAGGTGGCCAGATGTAAGGAGTGATGTGGTCACAGAAATTCTCTGATAGCCATGAGTAGGTTCCCTTGCTTGTAGGGCATGGTGCAGAGTCCTCTTGCAAGACATAGGGCTTTTCATCCACCACTCTCTGGACGCAGGGCTGCACTACCGCCTCAAGGCACTTGATGTAGGCTTCCGTGTTGAGTCTGTGGCTCTCACCAACAAATTCGGGGGTTCTTTTCTTATCAGAACGATCAGAGTGTGTTTTCCGAGGTGTCACCATTAGACTCAACCAGCTTTTCCGAGCTGTCACCATTAGACTCAACCAACTCTTTGCGAATACTCTGCTCTGTCTTCACTCTGAAATGTTCGTACTGGAGCTTCCGGCGCGAATGCCAAGCAGTACAGCATGCCGTTTCCAAATTTCTGACGGAGTGAATTGCGTTATGGTGCTTTATTTTTTCTCACAGACGGTGCCCAACTGACTCTGCTATAATCTGCAGTAAAGCCTGGAGAATCTGATACTCACAGGTCTAACAGAGGGGGAAAAGGCAAGGGAAAGCAACGCATGACATATCTGGCGAGCTTAAGCAAGTGGATGGCAGGACATGGTCTGGGGCAGTTGGCAGAGGCACGAAACTTATTGAGCGCTACAAGGAATATCTCTATTTTTGCTTGATTATTAGATTTGTGAACAATGTCATAATATTTGAAAGTTATTATGGCCATAGGAAATTTATTGAATATCTAAAACATTGAAATAATTTAATACAGAGGAACGACCACACAAGAAGGTTTTATCGATGGAATTCCTTTATTGAGAAACACTTGCAAAAGACATATCATAAAAAAGATGAGGTGGAGAGTAGCTTAATATATCAACGGATGATGCATGCCAGCGAGGACACAGGCTGACATTTCTAGACAGGGGGGTGCGGTGTACAGGAGGTGTGGTTATACAATTGCAGCCATATACACCCAGGCAACGCCGAATACCTAATAACACACACACACACACACACACACACACACACATATATATATATATATATATATATATATATATATATATATATCCGAGAGAGTGATTAAATAGAGAGAAATAGATTTTTTTATAAATTTGACGTGTTTCTCTTTCCTATAATGAAAGCAAAACGAATCAAATTTTATAAACATTTTCCTATTTGTTCATTATTTAATCACCCCACAGACCCCACACATAGATAAAAAGATAAGAAATTGAGATAGATAGATAGATAGATAGATAGATAGATAGATAGATAGATAGATAGATAGATAGATAGATAGATAGATAGATAGATAGATAGATAGATAGATAGATAGATAGATAATAAAGAAACTGAGGAACCTAGATAAATAGATAAATTATGAAGAAAATGAGAAAGATAGATAGATAGATATTAACAGACTGAGATAGATAGATAGATAGATAGATAATGAAGAGATTGAAATATCTATATAGATAGAGAGAGAGAGACAGATAAATAATGAAGAGACTGAGAATAGATAGTTAATGAAGAAAATGAGCAAGATAGGTATTAACAGACTGAGATAGATAGATAGATAGATAGATAGATAGATAGATAGATAGATAGATATGAGCAACAGACATGACCATACTAAGATAGATATTAAGAGAATTAGATAGACATAAAGAGAATTAGATAGATAGATAGATAGATATTAGGAGAATTAGATAGACAGGTACATAGATAGATAGATAGATAGATAGATAGATATGAAGAGAATTACATAGATATTAAGAGAATTAGATAGATAGATAGATAGATAGATAGATAGATAGATAGATAGATAGATAGATAATCTTGGCGTCCATGCGTATATTCAGTTCGAGAGCGGTATGTTGTGAGATAAAAATGTCATTTCAATTCTGCGAAAAATCTGTGCAGAACGTTATTAATCGCGAATAAACACCTTATCTAAAAAAGGTAGTCTCATCGCAACGAAAAAAAAATAAAATAAAATTAAAATTAGCGACGTCAAGGATCAACGACACTGAATTTTAGCATCAGAGGCGCTGAGAATAGTTGAGAGTCAGGCGTTTCTTTCTTTGTAATTTTTGCGAGGTTAATGGCCCTGCCTTATCGTAACTAAAAGCTAAAACGAATCACGAGAGGGTACTTGAGGTGAGTGTTTGCACGTCCTCTGACGGGATGCCGAGTACTGCCAGGATCTAAACGTGGGAAGTCCACAGACATTGTGTTATGCGGGTTATGTGAAAAATGTCCCTGTTCCGTCGGTATATTTACTGCAGGCGTCATGACATGCCCCTTAATCATTTAACGCAATAAGGAGGTGCTGCCTTGTTTGGGCGTATACGTAGGAATTGGGAATCGGTCTATTTGGCCTATCTTATTCGAAAACGAAAGAAAACTCACCGAGAACTGGCATCTGGTTAAGAAACCTCTGGGAATGTTTGGTCTTCCTTCCCACCCGTCACGAAGCCAAAATTTGACGCAAAGTTTTGTTTAATCGTGTGAACGCAGAAAAAAAAAAATTATGTACGTGGTTTCAAAACTTGCCCAATTCCTCACAGACGTGCCGTCGCCTCCCTCTGTCTTTTCTACAAATACTTTCACGGTAACTGCTTCGACGTTCTATTTTCGCTGTTTCCCAGACTGCATGAATTTAAGCGTGCTACTAGGCTGGCATCTCGCTCACACCCTTTCACTGTCGAAACTGTTAAATGTAGCCGTCTCTTCTACTCCAATAGCTTCATGTCTCGCACCTCTCGCTTGTGGAACTCCCTTCCTATTACTTGTTTTCCTGATAGCTATAATCTCCAACTATTCAAATGTAATGTAAATCGACATCTCCAGATGCCTTGATCTAATTCTCCGCCCTTCTCTTCATCTTTTCCTCCATCACGCCTCTTTACTCTTGCTCCCATTCTCTGTAACCCCTTGCGTGCTAGTGGCACTCCCGCCTTGCTTAGGGTGAAATACTTAAAAAAAACAAAAAAAAAAAAACATCGATTGGTTGATTGGTCAATTTTGTTTAGCGGCATATCAACCTCTCTGAGTTATTTAATGCCGAAATAGTTTAAATGGAATTGCATGCCTTCAACTACAGATAAAATGTATCGTTGATAATTCTACTATAAAACGTATTGCTGGTGATTTTACTATACAAATCTATTTTTAGACATTCATAGTGTTCTAGTTTTGGTTGGGAGTTCACTATGGCCCCCTAGCTGGGGCCCTAACAGGTGTTTACTACTCCGGGTCAGGTTGGATGTGGGAACAGCAGCAATTAAAAAGTCAATTCCATCCACTTTACTGTAGGCATTAGGGCGTGCCTACTAATCGTATCTAGGGGAGTTGCTGCTTGAGTGATGGAATCACAAAAACTAGGTTCTGATGCTAGAACGTTCAGGTAACAGAATTAATTTCAACTCGGAACCTCAAATTGGTAATTTGCAGTTCAAGCCCCGCGCTCAATTTCTAATAAAAATTTCCCGAATAGTTTCATTTTGGTGTAAATGTAACATATTTAATTCGAAAATAACAAAGAAATTTTGATAAAATCTATCGTTTTGGAGTTATAGACAATAAAATTTCGGACTCATTCGCGTCGCGGTAGGTGAAATTGAAATCTGCACTCCGAACGTTCGAAGGCCGGTGGTCAAGCATTGGAACTGAGATTGTACCGAATTCTGAGTTGGGAATTTTGATAAGATCTGAGTCTGACACAGGAGTGGGAAAACTTTTTTTTAGTTTGTTGGGGGGGGGGGTGTTCACCTGGTTTAAGTCTTCGTTCGCTTTCTGAATAGATTGCTATTTTATGCAACATATAACAATATATATATATATATATATATATATATATTCATCCTCGGAAAATGTGCAAACTACGATGTGGTCCGTTTATTAAAATGTTTAGGGACGACTGATTTAGCAAAACGAAACTTTTGCTTTGCTTCGCGAAAAATGCGTTCGATAAACAATGTGTTCCTTGTACTGAAAAGTTTAGAGACGCTTGATGTATAAAAAGTGATTATTTTACGCTGTCCTTTGAAATATATGTAAAATATGGTCCTGGTGTTTATAAGTTTAGAGTCGGCTGATTTATAAAATTGGTTCTTTTTCTTTGGTCATGGAAAATACGATGTATTGTTTGTACTTAGTTTAGAGGCAACCTATTTATAAAACGGGTTCTTCTTTTTCAGTCCTTGAAAAATGCATTATATATTACATACGGAAAAAAACAAGTACTCACAACAAAGATGAATTTTTGTTTCGATGTAAATGCATCTCGACATGTAAAGAACAAAGTTGGTTATAAACGATTCTATTTAAAAATGCTACTTATGAAACATCACTTTCTTTTTTTCATTATTCAGTTTTTTTTAAAGATATAAGGAGAAACAGCATAAAAGGAAAAGAAATATATAAAGGGTTTCCATAAAAGGAAAAGAAAAAAGAAGAAGAAGAAGAAAACGGATAAAAGCAAAGAGAAGAGGATAAGAAGACAATAAAAGGAAAAAAAAAAGGAAAGAAGAAAGCGAAATATAAGAGTTATGAAAAATCCAAAGACAACACGTCATAACTCGAAAGAGAGAGAGAGAGAGAGAGAGAAATGAAGAATAGAAGAGAATAAAAGAAACGAAAAGGAGAAAGATCTCCATGAATAAGAAAAAAAAAACGAAAAAAAAAAGAGAAAGAAAAGAAAAAGAAAGAAAAAAGAAGAAAGAACAAATGAAGACGATATATGTTGTTGATAACAATTCAGCCAATGATAGAACGTTAACATTAACACAAACACACAAATATAAAAAAAATGGATTAAATCCGATAGAATGACAAAACGAGTTTGTTTTATAAATTTGACAGATTTCGCTTTCTGATGAAGCTATAACAAAATCTCTATATTACGTGGTCTTTGCAGTGAAAAGTTTGAAGACGGCTGATTTACAAAATTCCTTCATTTTCTCTGGGCTTCGAATAACGTTTAAAACATATGCTATGCCAATCGTATCAAAACGTTTTAGAGGCGATTGATTTATAAAAATTAAACTTTTTCATTGTTCCTCGAAAAAATGCGTAAAATATACGATGTGCTCCTTGTACTGGGATTATTTCCAGGCGGCTGTTTTATAAAAAGTGGACATTTTTCTTTGACTCGTTGGAATCATTTCTTCTTCTTTTTTTAAGTATGTGATTGTTATTTCTTGTTTGTTCTCAGCTATCGTTCAGTGTTTGGATGAATGTCGGTGGCTGTAATTTCCGCTTAAAGAAATTCCAGAAATGCCAGTCGCTATTTTTTCTCCAGACTATCGGTCTGTTATTATCTGTAACAAAGCAAATACAGATCTAGATCGTGGGTAGCGAGGATCGAGCTGCTGTGCCCTAACCCAAGTAGTCTACCAGCGATGCAATGGGTGAACATATAAACGGAGGCATTACTTTCGGAAGCACCAGTCAATTTATTCCTTTGTCAGCCGACCAAAGTGCAATACGGCAACATGTGATGCAAAAAGCACAAGATTGCAACAAGAGAACAACAGGATAGCAACAAGACAACTACAAGATTATAACACGACAAACACAAAATTGTAACAAGACAACTACAAAATTGCAACAAAGCGACCACAAGATTGCAACAAGACAACTACAAGGTTGCAGCAAGACAACCACAAGATTGCAACATGACAACCATAAGGTTACAATAAGACAACTACAAGATTGCAACTAGACAACAACACGATTGCAACAAAATAACTGCAAGAATGTAAAACGACAAACACAAGGAGTCAACCACAAGATTGCAACAAAACAACAAGATTACAACAAGACAACCAAAAGATTACAACAAGACGACTAACAAGATTGAAACTAGACAATTACAAGATTGCAACAAGACAATCACGTGATTGCAACATGACAACTACCAAATTACAACAAGACAACGAAAAGCCTGCAACAAGACAACCTTAAGATTGCAACAAGACAACTGCAAGATTGAAACAAGACAACCTTAAGATTGCAACACGACAACAACAAGATAGCAACATGATAACTACAGGATTGTAACACTACATCTACAAGATTACAACATGACAACCAAAAGATTGTAACAAGACAACCACAAGATTGCAACAATACAATTACAATATTGCAACAAGACAACCAGAAGATTGCAACTAGACAACTACAAGATTGCAACAAGACAATTACAAGATTGCAAATAAGACAACTAGATTTCAACAAGACAACTCTAACATTGTAAACAGGACCAACATAAGATTAAAACAAGACAATTACAAGACTGCAACAAGACAAACATAAAGTTAGAAGACAACTACAAGATTGTAACACAACAACCACAAGATTGCAACAAGTTAACAACACGATAGCAACAAGATAACTGCAAGATTGTAACATGAGAGCCACTAGAATGAAGCTTAGAAAACCACAAGATTGCAACAAGACAATTACAACATTGCAACAAGATAACCACAAGATTGCAACAACTACAAAATTCCAACAAGATTTTAACAAGACAACCAAAAGATTTCAACAAGACAACTACAAGACTGAAGCAAGACAAGAACACGAAAGCAACAAGATAATTACAAGATTGTAACAATTTTTCTCCCCGGAATCGATCCTCCAGATCTACAAATCAACAATTCTCCCTTGCATGGAGTATTGCTGCCATATATTGTCTGGAGCCCCTTCTGTTTGCCTCGGGGTTCTTGATAGGCTCCAGAGGCGGATATGCAATATAACTGACCCTGATCTGGCATCTCGTCTACAGACACTTTCTCACAGACGCGCCGTCGCCTCTCTCTGTCTGTTCTACAAATACTTTCATGGAAATTGCTCCGAGGAGCTGCATTCGCTGGTTCCCAGACGTCATGAGTTCAAGCGCCCTACGAGGCTGGCATCCCGCTCTCACCCTTTCACTGTTAAAACTATTAAATGTAGCCGTCTCTTCTACTCCAATAGCTTCATATCTCGCACCTCTCACCTGTGGAACTCCCTTCCCTATTCCAGTTTCCCCGAGAGCTATAATCTCCAGCTATTCAAACGTAATGTCAATCGACATCTCCAGTTGCCTTGATCTATCCACTACCCTTCTCCTCATCCTTTCCTCTATCACTCCTATCTGATCTTGCTCCAAATTTTCTGTAACCCCTTGCGTCCTAGTGGCTTCCCGCCTTGCTTGGGGTGAAACGCTTATAAAAAAAAAGAAA